AATTTGAATTACAAAATAAAATTGACCAAAAAATACTTTGGTGTTAAAGAAAAAATCATTAAAATAGCAAAAACGTCCTTGATCCTTAGACATTTTTGATGTGTACAAGTTTGTCAGGAACATAGAGAATGTAGGTTCATGGTCTCTACAGGAGACAAGCGTGTTGTATGAATATATGCATCTTTGTGAAAGAATTCGTTCAGAAAAGTACTGCCATCTTACATATTTCTACCGCCAAGCAGTGTTATGAGCATTACTGCGTTCCGGTTTGGAAGGGTAAGGTTGTTGGTGAAATTGTCGTGTCGCTTACCACCAGGCGCACGACTTGTTCGTCCCGTTACTTGGTGTTATAAATAAAAATGCTGCACGCCAGGAATCCCACACACTTCGCAATTTAAATCATAATTCTGCAATCAATGAAAGCTAAACTATGTTGAGACACGTTAAATCTATTTATTATCAAGTTCTTACGTTTTCGCGTTTGTTCTATTGCATTGGAAAAGAAGTAACTGGTAGATGACTTCACCAATCTCAGTCAGCCGCGATTACGCGCGGTTTAGATCCGCAGAAATAGTTTCATTTCCACTGTTCATTATTATTTTTTATTTTACTGTTTGCGACTGTTAACAATGACATATTTAATTGTACAAGTACTTGACGCTTGAAGATTTTTATGAATGTATTGTTCGAACACATTTGTTGCGTTTTTAACTTCTGGTTAAGTTGATTGATTGATATGAGTTTGCATAACTTGTCAATTGTGTTTTCTGCAACAGAATTGGTTGCGTAACAAAATTATTTATTTAACTGAAACTTTGAAGGCTCTGCATGATTACTGATTTAGTAATGTTTAACAAATTCAAACCGGGATTTATATACCATAATTTTTTGACGATTCGAAAAAGGGTTTCATGCAACCACCTTACAAAATGTTTGGTTTATGAGACGGTGATATACGTGTGCCTATTTTGTTAGTGTGTTCAAATTTTTCTACTTCTGTTTTCAAATTGTTACTTTCTTTTGTAACTTTCTTACACAAAATGGACCTCTTGAGCTACACTATGAAACTTTAGCATTTTCTCTCAAGTCGGTCTTGGATTGTTTTACGTGACCTCAGGTGGTACTCCGCCTGAAAGAAGTGTCGGCATTCCACCAGTGGTTCACCCCGAGATGAACGTCTTAAGTATACTTCTGTAAATGGCCAACGAAGTACAGTATGAAATAGATTTTTTTAAATATAATATCAAGTGACGGGGCGAACAAGTCGTACGCCTGGTGGTAAGCTACACGCCTATCCTTAACAGTTACAGTGCCACTTAGAGCTTTAAATTGCAAAAATCTGAGGGATACTACCACTGCGCCGTAAGAGTATGCTAGGGTTGGCCTTAATCATTCTGAAATGATGACACATTAACAGAAAAAGTGATAATATTTATGTATTTGTGTTTTTTTTATTATATCAATGATATTAAATCCGGTCGTCTATGGAATACTGCTACCACCGACGGAATGCCTCTGCTAAATATCAACTGGCCACCTTGAATTCAATTGACTGGCGTGCCAAGAGGCTTATAGGTGACTCGGAATTAGTAAAGGCGAAGCTGCAGAGCCTTGAACACCGCCGTAAAGTTAGTTGCCGGTTTACCATCAGGCTAGAAGGAGATCAAATACGCACTTATATGTTATGAAAAAAGGGGCGAATAAGTA